TTAAGATATCTATCAAACTTTTATATCTAACATCAACTTCAAGAAGAGATTTTATTTATATTTAACTCATAAGAAAGAATTCTTATTTTTCATATACCTTTTGACTTACCGATAAATTTCTACACAAATTAATGCGTTTCTACATTATAATTTTTACTTTCCAACATTATCTTTTTTTTGTACGTTAGCAATCTGATACTCATATCTACTTATGTAATCTCCAGATGTAAAATAGATGTATCGAAAACTATTTTAAAAATTGAAATTACATTGGAATGCTTTTAGATTGTAAAAATAGTCGAGACGTTGTAAAAATGATTTTTTTAAGAACATATTTCAATAAAAAGCACAGTGCATTTCTGTGAACTTTGTTAATAGTAGATATCTACAATGAACTATTCGGAGATAGTAGTGTATTTATAGCTGTAGTATGAAACCATTGAATCATATTGTTTGTAAGAATATAATTAAAAACCTATGATCTATATTATATTTTATAATACATTGTATATTTTTATTACGCAAGGTTACAAAACCATCTTTGTATTACCATGTCTTTTAATAGAATTAAAAATTTGATGAAATAATTAATTCAAATAGTGGTATAATCAGAATTTTGACCTTGGAGTATAGAGATAGACAGCGGTGAGTTAATTGAATTTTGTCCAGTGGCAAGACTCGAGGTAGAATTTAGCTATTGTGACTTCGTATGATAACAAATTAAAAGCTTCTATGGACTAGAAGGAGCTCAGTCCTTCTAGCCTCACTTGATTACATCACCATCTTCGAGACATAAAGTCAGAGTTCAAATATATTTCATTTCAAAATTCAAAAAATATTTTAAATTTGAAACATACAGTAGTATGAATACATCTCTAATCTATTTACTATAATAAATGAAAACTTTCTTCACATGAAGCTGATGATGTCGGAGTTCGAATTTTGAATAGATTGAGTTCTAAAGATCATTTTTTTAAAAATTCGTTCGTTCGTTCGATTTGCAAATAAAAACAAAATCAATTACACTTATATTTAAGAATGAAAATTTTAGATAAAGACTTTTGCATGTTGAAAAATATTTCGAAAGATGAATGTTTCATTTTAGGAAAATAATGCAATCAATACAACAAAAGAGTTCATCTTCCATTTTATGAAAACATCTTTTGTGTCTATGTTTTTTTGTTCATAAGATTTTGTAAAAGCAGCTCATTAAATACAGCATTAAAACAATTAATTCCTAAAAAAAGATTTAATTGATAGTATTGTTTTGCTTCGTTTACTCTTTTTTTATAAAGTACATACCAGAGGTATTCACAAAACAGAGCCAAGTCTTTATATTCTGTGCAAGTTTGAACATCAAACTTTCATCTTCAAAAGGAGTGTTTTTTGAGTTTTCGAATGTCAAAAAATCGAAAATAGACTGCAGTAGAGAACCATATTACTGCATTTGAACTCAATTGAAAAATACAATCAAGACAGTGTATCGATCTTGCGAGGTATTCTGTCCTATCCAGTGAAGCAGGACAGAACACGTTGTGTTTTTTTTCAATGCATTTTTGACAACAAGGCAGGATATGATATTATCACTCTATGAATATCTCTGATACATACATTACTTATCTTAACAATTATTTATTTAACTCAATGCACTATGGTAAACAATGAATTGAAAAACAATCGAATATCATTAGACAAACCTTGATTTTATTTTGTCAATAAACGTTTAAAGTTAAATTTTTACATGAAATACAAAACATGTATACATAATTATTTGTTTACAAGAACGATTAGTCGGATCGTAGTCGAATTGTTTCAATCATAAATTTTTGATCGGTTCTTATTGCTACCATGGGAAGGATTTGTTATCGATTTTGTTTAAATATATTTTTCATTTTTGGTACAATAAATACAAGCATAATAGATGTAATCATGAGTCCAATTGAGATATGTATGAATTGCACAGGATAAACCCACGGTATCAAGTTATTGGTAATTATATACATAACAAAAATAGTTGAAGTAGGCATGTCAATTACGAGTAAAAATAGAAGAAGAGGAAGAATAATTTGTTTCAAAAAAAAAAGTCCATCTCATTTATTAGTTTTTTTTTGTCATCTACGCTCAATGTGATTTGATCGATGAATATATCCAAAAATAAAACCATATATCAGACAAATAATCAAGACAGGATTTCCATAGATAATAAATGTTATTAATAATAATCCACGAATATTTTTAAATGAAATCCAACAATTATATTCATGTGAAAGATATTGAAAATTATTTAATAAGAAATTAGGAAGAATATAAACAAATGATAACAACCATTGAATAATGATTTCAACAATAAATATACCAAATGTTTTGTAATATTTTTATTTTATAAAAAATTATTCGAAAGAATCGAAAAATAACTAAATATTTCACACCAACGACCTGCAAATGAAGTTGATGGATAAACATAACCATAAAGACTATGACCGACTACATTGAATAATATAAAACAAAATATAATGATAGTTAAATAAGTATTATAAGTCACAAAAAATAATAGATTCGATCTTGATGGACGAAGGAAAATAAAAATGAATATAAGAATTGCCACAGAAATAATACAACTTAGAACAGTAAATGAAAGAATTCAATGCTAATAGCATTCAAAGAAAAAAAGAAAAAAGTTCTAAGCAAAAAAAAAGTAATGGAGGTAAATTTTTCGATGCTAAAATCTATATAAAATTTTACCCCCCGTTTCTAAGAAGGCATGGAAGTAATGAGGGTAAAATTTTATATAGATTTCAGCATCAAAAATTCATACATGTTAAACTTGAATTCCCTTGGAATTTTAACTTTTCATGTTTCGAGTTTTCAGGTTGTGAAATTCTCGTATGGGTACGGCAATGCGGGTCAATCCTAAAATTTGAATTCAACTCTTCAGTAACTCTACAAATATTTAGTGAGGGGAAGCGCTTTTCTCTGAGTAACTGACCTGTTATATCAGCGTCGCAGCGTGGGGGCACGAAGCACCCTCTGAAGAGTTGCGACCAATGCATGTCTCTGTGTACAGGGTGAGCTATAGTAGAACTAAACAAATAGCAATTTGAAGGGCTCAATATTCGTTGGACAAAATTTTTTGGACGATGTTGTAAATTGAATTCATATAGACATATTTAAAACCAACTTCTATATGAAAAATTATAATTACTTTATGAAAGAGTTAACATATAGTTAACATCAACTGTGTATGCATGCACTATAGAGACTAATTTTTTCTTTAAGTATGAAGCTCGAATGAGTGTTACAAAAACTGAAGACATCTGTCAGAAAGCGGCCCGAAAAACTATTAAAGTTACTTAGTTAAAGTCTAAAATGTCTTCCACAATATAGAGTGTCTGACGCTCTTTCGAGTGTCAAATTTAAAAAAGAAATTAATCTCTATAGAGCATACATAAAGAATTGATGTTAACTGTATGTCAATTTTTTCAAAAAGTAACCATAATTTTTCATATAAAAGTTGGTTCTAAATATGTCTGTATGCCAAAATGTAGCAGGTGTTCTCCTCTTTCCATTTAGAAGGATTCAGATTTTTTTTGAATATATGTGGAGACAATAACTCAATTTAAAAGATCGCCCAAAAAATTTTGTCCAACGAATGTTAAGTCTCTCAAATTGTTGTATGTTCAGCTCTACTATAGCTCAACATGAAGGGCTGAAATTTGCTGTGAATCTAGTATTGAGTCTGACGTTACTTTTGATGAAAATCGCCTGTCAAAAGACAACACTATGACGGAGTTATACTCAAAACAAAATCCTCCAAAAAGTAATGTCCAGGATTATATATCTATAAAACAAAAGGAATCCGTGCAGTTCATTTAATGAAACAAAACAGGAACTGTATATGTACTGAATATGATTGATGAAAGCAGACCGTATGAGAAAACAATTGTTCAATTCAAATGTTTAGGTAAAAACCAGTTGTATCTATCGACTGATAGACCTTCAAGAGATAGTAACTCCAATGAATATACTGAGTCTAAGGTGCCAATGCTCTGGAACAATGTCCAGCAGAGTATTTTTTCAAGTACACTACTACCACTGTGTCACGAGATCTCTTGCTCGGGTATTCCATGCTGAGAATCGTTGCAATACACTGGTGGTGCCTAGTGACGTTTTTGATTAGTTGTTCAGTTCCTAGAGCATTCTATGAAAGCTTTTCAAAAAGTTAGTCAATCGAACAATCCAAAGGTTTTGTATTACATATCGACAGTAGAATACTCTAAATTCAATACATTCATTACGGTTAGCATCAAAACTAGAAGATTTTTCATTTTATTGAAGATGAAAAAGACTTTTAAAAACAATATCTACACTTGTGATATAAATATGCATTCATCATTTTTTCAAATCCTATATCATTTAAAACAACAACCCAATGTCTCCATACAGTAAGAAGAGCGATCGAAATTTCTAGACATACACACACACACAACGGTTAAGTGTCAATCTTGTCATATTACTATTGAATTATTAAACAAAGCCTCTGTCTCACTCCATGGTATCGCAATTCGGTCTAAGTAGACAATGCTATTCTAAATGTAATCTAGTCAAATGAGTACCTAGTCCTCAAGCTTTCTAATGATGTTAGACAGAGAGAGTTTTTGTCTTCACAAAATATATTCTGATTTATTGTTAAAGCATGAAAGAAGAAAATACGTGATAGAAAATAAAAGAGAGAATGTATAATGATGTTACAACATTGACAGAATAAAACAGAAATACATAAAACATCACACGATTCCATCCCAGCAAATATATTTGCGTAGAATATCAACTTCAAAAATTATAATTTTTTTAATGAAGTCAATCAAAAATAATTAAAGCATTCTTATTGTTTATTAATTTGATTAAGTCTTGCATGCATCTTTTTTTTGAATATAGACTATTTTGGTCTTTAAAACTGACAAAATGAATCATTATTTTTAAACAGCAACAAATTCTTGAATTTAAAATTTTTCCTTGAGATCATGATGATCAGATTCTTGTGTATTGCGATCTCGAATTCTCATTTCAATATTTGGATGCACTTGGCATAATTTCCATTTGAATTTTGCTCGGATTTGTGATGTTGTTGAAGCAAGAACGAATGACATAACTAATTGACCAAATGATGAAACAAATGCTAGGAAATAATAATTCCATGATGATATATAACCTGTAATAAAATAGAGTATCCAAACTACAAATAAAGGTGTAGATAATATTTGTAGAACAATGAATAAAATAATAATTCGTTTGAAAACCATCATATCTCGTTTATTTATATTTTGTCGAGTTTGTACTGCATTTGTTGTTCGACGAACATATCGTATAATATAGAAATAAATTAAAAATATTGTATTTACAGGTAAGATATATGTTAACATTACCCTCATTGCTACTCCACTAACATTATTAACAGGTATTTCGCATCGATATTCACTAGGTATATATTGAAACTCATTTAGAAAAATATACAGAAGATTAATAAGAAAAACAAAGAGCCATTGAAGAATAATAGCAATAGAAAATACTCGAAATGATCGAAGTGCTCTTCTTTGATAGAAAACAATTCGAAACAATCGAAAAAAGGCTTGAAGAAGTAATGAATATGACATACTGGATTCACCAACGATTATTAGATAAGCTCGAATTTTACATAAAGAAGTTCCAAATAACATCCAAGAATTTAGATTACCCAAAAAAGAAGTTAAAGATGCTTCGAATAAAGCAATCGATGATAAAATCAATGCCAAATAACTATTACTTATTAGAATCGATAAAACATTTGATGCCAATGGACGAATTTTAATACAAATGAGTATTAAAAATATTATATGAAAAATAATTCCAAAAAATAAAAGTACCAAATTTGAACCATAAATAATGATGGAAAAATTCATCGTCTATATTACTTGTATAATATTACATATAATTATAAAAAAATTTCTTGATGGAATTACGCAGCACAATCAAACATTAAATCTTTATGTACTTGAATTTGGAAGATTCCTTCGAATGAGCACAGATCTCTCTGGATGGATAATTTTATAAACAACTCAAAATCAAATTCAATTATAATACTAAATTTCAAAAATTATTTTTCTTTATCCTTTAACACAAATTGATGAGCTCGGAAATAATGCTGAAGTCTATATATATATATATGTATATATATAGCAACCAGCTTACATCGGCTTCTTTATAGTTGCAAGACATCAATTATAAAGGATATCCAACCAGAAAAAGGATGAGAGTG